TGGGACTCTCTCCCTCCTTTTCCCCCTGTTTCACCACTACCATTGCCTCACTCACCAGGTCGTGCAGCGGATCAAGACCCTGGAGAATGAGACCCGGCTGCTGGTGGTTGACAGGGAGGCGGACGAATACCTACATAGTCTGCGGCTGACAGCTAAAGAGGACTATGAGCAGAGTCTGTCACAGGACAAGCCCAAGGATAATGGTGAGGTGTGGAAAGAGAAGCCAATTCTGAGCCATGGGGAGCCTAAGAGATTATCCAATCGCTCCTTCAACAGCATCAAGAAGGTAAGGAAACTCATCGAAAGATTGGGAAGTTTGAGGGGTGGGGGTTAGGGTTAGTTTCTAAAAGTGATTCTTCAACATTTACCTCTGAAAAATCTATCAAGGCTTCCCCTCCCACCACCACAGCCTGGAATCTATTGTTTTGCCTTTTGAAGTTAATAAACAGTTGCTTTGTTCAAGACGGCTGTGGAGATGGGTTGCAGATGGAAAGCGGGGCAAGGGATGGGCTTTACTTGTGTTGCTTTGTCATGGGTTTGCAAGGAATCCTCAGCCACAATTGGTTGGGCAGGTTTGATTAGAATGAGTTTTAAATCAAAAGAAAATTAAGCAAGCAAGAAGTCTTTACCAAGTGTTGGAAATTGGGCATTTAAGATGCCTGGGATCAGTCAGCTAAATTGCGCTTATATAGCTTCCTTCATGCATGGTAGGATCTCAAAGCGCTTAACGGTGGCGGAGCCTGACTCTAAACAGTCATGCAAATTGCCCTACACTATTGCAAATCGTCTATACTCTTAGTTTTGAAGAGAGTTTATCCACATGGAGTGATCAATGTTAATATGGACACCAGACTTTAATAATATTATTACTGGTAATTAATAATCTTTGCATTTGATATTGTGCCTTTCATATTGAGAGGATGTCTCAAAATGTCTCGGAAGATTGATTGTGAAGTGTAGTGACTGTGTAACTTATAGGTGACCTTCCGAAATCAACACAAAACATAGAGGTAAAGTACACGATAGCCCCTGTGTTTTGGGTGCTTCAAATTAGACCCAGTGGTTATAACAGGAGCCACAAATAAATGGCCGACAATTCTGTGTCATCTGTGTATTACGCTTCTGATAAGTGTGATAGAACTAGCGTTCTCTCCAGACCTACACTCTAGTGAGCTATGTTACAGTGAGGTTGTCCTGGCCCAAGGGTCACAGATTAGCCACCACTGGGTGTGGTTGACAGGGCAGTACTGGAAGAGATGTTAAACCTTTTCAGGCATTCTTTAAAGATCCTGTGGTGCTATTCGAAAGAGAAGGGTGTTTCTCGAAGTCTCCTGGTCAGCAGTCCCCTAGGTACAATTTGCACTACACTTCATTTATATCAAGACTGTTTGTGGGACAATGCAGTGTGCAAATTGGCTGCCATGTTTGCCTACAAATACACAGTCACTACACTTTACAGTAAACCTTACATAGTGCTTTGAGATGTCCTGCCTTTGTGAAAAGCACTACTCTATATGAAATGCAGTTTTCTCTTAATTTCATGTTAGTTGCACTGTTTCAAGTTAGTCTGTAAATGAATGAGGGATCACAGAAACTACAGTTGTTTCTTGTGGCCCTATTGGAGGAAGGAAGTAATTTGTGAAATTGATTCCACATTGTGAAAACAGAGGCTAGTAACTGAGTAATGAAGTCTTTAGTGAAGGAATGCAGGTGACCACACTTTGTGTTGAATGATCTTTAGTCTAAATTTCAGCAAAATCCCACTTCTCATTAACTTTGGAAACTGTTCATAAAATAACAAAGGAGGGGTATTTTCTTTTACTGGAAGGATCTGCAAATGTCAATAATAATAATACTTGTATTTGATATAGTGATTTTCAAGTCAGGAGGATGTCTCGAAGCACTGTGCAGGATTTTATTGTAATGGGTAGTGAGTATCTATTTGTAGGTGAACGCGGCAGCCAATTTGCACACGACACTCACAATAACTAAGTGACCAATTTTTATCTAGTGGATTGTTGGCCAGGACACCAGAGGAAACGCCCTTCTCTTTTTGAATAATGCCATGGAATCTTTAACTCAATTAGTCGTTTAATTGATTGAATAAATGTGCCAATCAAAACTATATTCATTGACCTGCTGCATTCAGGAACCAAGCATTTGTAGATGAGGCAGCTACTTTTTCTTTTTTAAAAAAATATATTGACTAACTCCTGCCTGCTATTGCAGATATGGTTTATGATGCTTCACTCCATTTATTTATTCCCTGTATACTGTTAGATTGGACTTTGATCGCGCCTATCTATGGTCACCATTCTCCTCATTCTCTCTTGCTCGGCATCAAACTCTGCCACTATTATAATAATAACAATCCTTGCATTTGATATATCATCATGTCTTTCATGTTTCATGTCTTCGAGATGTCTCTATCCCCTTCACAGAATATACTGTAAAGTGAATATACAGCATCCCGAGATTTAGTGCTGCTTGAAGGGCGCTAAATAAATGCAAATTGTTGTTGTAGACTTTTGTCAAATGGGGAGGGGACAGAATTCATGGAGGGGTTTTGTGAAAATGATATACTGTAATTTGAAGAAACCATTTCCTGCTCTTTCCCTGTACTCTTAAACCTCATAAATGTTCAAATCACCAATCAATCTTCAGTCTTCTGCCTGCTGTGATTTTCTGCCAGGTCGTGCTTTTGATCCCTCTAAACTAAAAAGTTTTATCCTTCTTAAAAAATACAACAACAACAACAACAAGATTCCATTTATAAAGCGCCTTTCACGTCAGGAGGACGTCCCAAAATAAAATGAAATAAAATGTTTCAGTTCTTTTTGATGGTATTGCCTTTGGATTTTCATCACTTGATTCAGCAAGGCACATCTTTCTATTGTACCACTCAACCCAGTCAATCTCACAAGGTTCCTTCCCGTTCTCTGGAGATGAATTGAGCAAACTTTAGAATGTGTCTTCAGCCTTGACCAGTTTGCTCTTTGGCATAGCATTGCCTTGGTCCCATCCAGTTCCACAGATCTCTATCATCTAAATATATATCAAATGCATGGATTATTAAGGATCATTAATTTAACTCATTCCCATTTCCAAACCAGATTTATAAGGCATAAACAAGCTGACAGGACATCAGCAGATGAGAGTTGTAGCTGGAGGATGAGAAGTAGATTTGGGTGTCATTGGCATACGCATTGACTCCATGTTTGATTCACATCGCCGAAAGGGAAAAAAAAAGTAGATAAGGAAAAGAAGGGGCCAAGGATAGAGCAGGTGACCGGGCGGGAGTGGTAGTTTGTTATGTTTTGTTAGCAGTTTCTAATCTCACATTTAGCCTGGGACTCCTTAATATTCGGGAGCTGTGTTCCCGATGAAATGAAATAATGTGATTGTAACTTAAAGAAAAGCAAGTTTCTCCTGATTTCCATTGAAGGCGAGTTCTGTTGCTGAGTTATTAAAACAAGAGGCTGTTATCTGAATCGTGTGTGTTCTTTGCTGAATTATTCCCAGTGCATTGATGCAGTTGCAGTGGGCCTACAACATTGCACACAGTATTCCAGGCGTCATGATACTAAACTGCAGCAGATTTGAAAAACCTGCTTTGACTCAGCCAAATGTGGTTTGAGGTATGTGTGCCATGCTGATTTGGTAGCTTCAATCTGCCTAGAGGTGAATTGTCACCGTTTCATCCAGATTTTTTCTCTCTTTTGCTAATGGAATCCCCACAATGCGTTACCTTACATTTATTTACCCCTTTTTGAATCCCAGAAACCTTTGAATGTATACATCTCCTACACTGGTTGTTTGGCCTAAAAGCTTGGTACCATTAGCAAGTAGTTTAATGTGTGGGGGGTGAATGGGGAGCTATGTAAAGAGGAAGATTGAAGAATTAGTTATTTTTGTTGTGATAGTGATGTGATGAAATCTGCCTGGTTGTGTTGTCATCAGTTTGTGTGTCCTCTCCCCGCCCACCACACACACACACACACACAGAAACACAAAACCATCCTCCATTAAACTGCTTAACATTTTTAAATCCCCATTGTGATCAGGCCTGCTTTTAATTATATTTAGCTCAAAAATCTGATTCCTGCTAAGGTCACAGCAGTTGTTTATAAAGATCAAGCATTCCAGTGAGAACTATCACCTCTTTGCTCTTCCCCAGAGGAGATTTGCCAAGTTATTCTGTCTCATGAGGAATGAAACATCCATCCGTTATTTGATGCACAAATGTTTGAAAGCTAAGGTCCCGAAATGATGATGTCAGGATTTCCTGCAATTCGCAAGTGATTTGTTCACATAACAGTCTCTTATTGTGTGTCAGCCTGGCTCAGTTGGTAGAACATCCACCTTGGGGCCCAAAGCTGTGGGTTCATGCCCCACATTGGGCAGCTCTATTGCAGTGCTGGGGTTACCTCTATTATGTACCACAACAGGCCCTGGAAGCAGTGCAGAGGCGAGCAATGAGGATGATCCCCAGTACTGGAGGAATGCACAACGATTAGACAAGCCCTAGCTCCTCAGGCTTGAGAGAAAACAACTCTGAGGGGACCTCATAGAAATGTATAAAACTTTAATGGGTATTGAAAAAATAAACCCAGAACAATACTTTACTGTACAGTAGTACAACAGGATATAGGTTAAGAGTTGTAAAGGATAATTTCAGGATAGATACAGAAGTTTTTGTTTACTGAAAGGGTAATTAATGACTTCCTGGAACAGGTTGCCAGAATAATAATAATAATAAGTGACTAAGGCTAAAATTCTGGACTCAGTTAAGAGGTTGCTGGATGCTGTGATGGGAGGGTGGGCTACCTGGAGGGACTGGATCAGATGGGTTGAAGGACCTTCTTCGCTCAAGCCAGCCTTGTGATCTTGTAATAAACCTTTACCAACACGCTCTATGGAATATCTGCTAGAAAAACACTGAAATATGAGCAGTTTCCTGTAGGATTAAATGGAAAACTGCTGTGCATGAATGTGTGTGTCTTTTCTGTGACCACCTTGCCCAGTGTTCTCTAATCCTTCACAGGATATAGTTAGACCTGATAATTGGTGTGTGTAGATACAAAGCATGTTGCATGCTAATTCAATGTAGCTTTGCATGCAGTTCATATAAATTCCAGGGTATTTACCCCACCCTCTAAATAAAAATTACTAACATTTTTTTGTTTTAATTTTTTTGAAATTGTAGTTCTATGGCTGATTTGCCAAGCTGCTTGAATCATCCTAACAAAAAGCAGATGCTGAGCACTGTCTGTCCTCACTTAATGT